CCAATCTTCATTTCATCTCTCTCTCAAGAGAAAGAGTGGATTATGAAAAAAAAAACATTTTTACTTATGTTGTGACTCCTATAGTTTAGTTTTGTTTCCGTGATAAGATTGCTGACTAATTTGGTTTGACTAATTAAATATATATTATTTTGTTTTACTTGAAAACCTGGGATGAAACTCGCATGGAAAGGACACGCCTAAAGGCTCCTTAATCGGAAGACGGAGACAATCACTTCCATAAGCTTGCCTAAATCAAATAATTTTGTCTAGTTAATACTTAAATTTTCTTAACAAAATTACTGGGAGACTTTTGTAATTTTTCTTTTAAAAAAAAATTCTTCACACAATTCACTCCTAATACGGTGATTGCTTCGTTACCTTTTATTAATATATTGAGGACACCGTACATTTTCATATTAAAATAATAAAATTTAGCATCGTACATTAAAATGATATCATAGATAAGTTGGAATTTAATTTAAATAGCGTTTTAAATTTCGTAATAGTAAAAATCTTATTCATCAAGATTTATTTCAACTTTTTTTTTTTTTAAATCCAATACTACTTCCGTTCTTATTTATAAAATCCAACTAAAAAAATTGCTAATTTATATATATAAAATTAACTTACTTTATATTATCTCATATATTAATTAATTTTAAATTAAAAAAAACTTCTAATTAAAGCATGTTATTATGTTAATTTGATAAAATTTATTAATTATAAATATTTTAAAGAGTATACACTTTAATTAGTTAAAAAAAATATAAGTATTAAATAGAAAAGATAAATAATATAAAATATGTATATTAATCGGTTAAAAGATATATAAATATTAATTAAGAAAGAATAGTAACATAAGAGTGATTTAAAAGAAAATGTATTATAATAGGATGAATTTATTGTTATCAACTAAATTAATTTTTTTTTATTTTAATGAATTAGATAATTAAATCATATATATATAAACGGAAATAATATTAAATAAGAAACTAATGCAAATGTAAATATAAAATGAAAAACAAAAGTAATCTAATTAGAGATCATTTAGTAATAAAAATTAATAAAATCCTAAACAAGTCATTAATAATTTCGTGTTCTTAAGTATTTATTATTTAGGCTTAAATATGTTTTTAGTTACTCAAATTTAGGATAAATCTGTTTTTGGTCCCTCAAATTTAAAATTGTTATTTTTAGTTCATGTAATTTTAAAAAATCTTATTTTAATTCTTATATTCAAATTTTATTAAGAAATTTACTAAACATTATTGCATAAAATCTATCTATTGGTGTCCCTATTAGTGAAAATATCACATTAAATCCGGTTGATATTGCATAACTGTCTTAATTAATCACTTTCAAATATGTTATTGGTGATCTAAAGGACTAAAACAAGATTTTTGAAAATTACAGGGACCAAAAACAACAATTTTAAAATAAAGTAGGGCCCAGCACACCTGAAACATCTCAAAGTAGCACCTCCACTCTGTCTACCTCCACTAGCAGCACTGGAAGATTGCCTAGAAACAGAACCCCCTTGCTGTGGTTGGGGCCTGTCATATGATTTCCTCTGACTCTCACCCTTCTTGGACCCAGATGGTCCCCCTCACAGCACAGTTGCCACCTTCCAACTACTCAACTACCTTCGCCTTCTCCATATGTTATTGGTGATCTAAAGGACTAAAACAAGATTTTTGAAAATTACAGGGACCAAAAACAACAATTTTAAATTTGAGGGACCAAAAACAAATTTATCTTAAATTTGAGGGACTAAAAATATATTTAAACCTATTATTTATTAACTCTTTTTTTTTTTTAATTTTAAAAAAAGGTACGGATACTCTTTGAAAGACACAACTTCCGTTGAATTTACCTTTTAAGAATTTGACATATCTTTTTTACGATTTGGCATCGTATTTATCAATGGTTTAAATATAATTATAGTAAAATAATAGGAATTAATTTTTTTTTTGTTAGATAAAATGGTAGATCGAAGAAAATAATAGAAATTGATCTGTTGTGGCACTTTTAATATAAATATGTCATTTTCATGTGGATCTTCTGAAGAAGAAAAAATCCACAGAAACTTTTTGTAAATGTTTTACTTCTGCCACTTCATTAATTATAAAATAAATATTTATGAACAAAAAATTGCAAGAAATTTTGTAAGAATTTGTTTCACTTCCTGCAATTTTCCTTATGAATTTAATTTCGTAGAAAATATTTAATATTATTTTAATAAATTTCAAGTAAATGTTGTATGTAAGTTTCTTGCGAAAATTTTTACTAATTTACTTGCAAATTCTTCTACAAATTGAAAAGCACAGGAAATATTTCATGCGAATATAAGTTTCTTGCAAATATAAAATTAATTACACAATAATTTGCATGAAAATTATGCATAAAAATATAAAATACAACAAATTTATTTACTCACATAAATATTTCTTCAACATCTATAAAAATATTTGCAAGTAATGCAAAATGTTTAAGAACACAATTCAACCTACTTTTGTGTTATTTTATTTACTTCAATTGGTATCCGAACTTAACTCTCTAAGTTAAGCAACTTAACAACGTAAGAAAAAATCTTGAAAGAAGTAACATAAATATTTACATGTATAAAATATTTTTTTTTTTTTAAATCCAATACTACTTCCGTTCTTATTTATAAAATCCAACTAAAAAAATTGCTAATTTATATATATAAAATTAACTTACTTTATATTATCTCATATATTAATTAATTTTAAATTAAAAAAAACTTCTAATTAAAGCATGTTATTATGTTAATTTGATAAAATTTATTAATTATAAATATTTTAAAGAGTATACACTTTAATTAGTTAAAAAAAATATAAGTATTAAATAGAAAAGATAAATAATATAAAATATGTATATTAATCGGTTAAAAGATATATAAATATTAATTAAGAAAGAATAGTAACATAAGAGTGATTTAAAAGAAAATGTATTATAATAGGATGAATTTATTGTTATCAACTAAATTAATTTTTTTTTATTTTAATGAATTAGATAATTAAATCATATATATATAAACGGAAATAATATTAAATAAGAAACTAATGCAAATGTAAATATAAAATGAAAAACAAAAGTAATCTAATTAGAGATCATTTAGTAATAAAAATTAATAAAATCCTAAACAAGTCATTAATAATTTCGTGTTCTTAAGTATTTATTATTTAGGCTTAAATATGTTTTTAGTTACTCAAATTTAGGATAAATCTGTTTTTGGTCCCTCAAATTTAAAATTGTTATTTTTAGTTCATGTAATTTTAAAAAATCTTATTTTAATTCTTATATTCAAATTTTATTAAGAAATTTACTAAACATTATTGCATAAAATCTATCTATTGGTGTCCCTATTAGTGAAAATATCACATTAAATCCGGTTGATATTGCATAACTGTCTTAATTAATCACTTTCAAATATGTTATTGGTGATCTAAAGGACTAAAACAAGATTTTTGAAAATTACAGGGACCAAAAACAACAATTTTAAATTTGAGGGACCAAAAACAAATTTATCTTAAATTTGAGGGACTAAAAATATATTTAAACCTATTATTTATTAACTCTTTTTTTTTTTTAATTTTAAAAAAAGGGGTCTCACAATTAATTAATAATACAATTTTTTTATTACACTAATCTTCTCTAGATTTGTCTCTCTCTTTATCTTACATGTTGATGATGTATATTCACGCACTGGTCATAAGTTTATAAACTTATAATAAAAAAGACAATCGTATAAATAATTTTTTAAATATTGATAATTTGTATTTTTTATAAATTTATTTATTTATATTTTTAATAATATATGTATATTAATTTTTTATTATATTATACAAATAAATAGGCTGACCTATTAGGCATAATAAGTTTTTTTATAAGCCTAAGCTTAGTCTTTTTATACAAATAGGTTTTTTAAAAACCTAAATTGGACCTTTCTATTAAATATGTTAGGTCAGATATCAAACTTTAAAGAGGTCAGGTCTTAAGCGCTTGTTTAAGGTATGATCTATTATTATCTCTACTAGTTGATTATGAGGCTTAGTGATTGAAAACCTCTTAACAAATATTCTGTTGAGAATATAAAATTAAGAATTGACATGATAACAATTGCTTAAAGATTGAAATTTATTGATCATGTGTAATGAATAGTGGTGGCCTATCCTTTGACTTTAAATCCCTAGGGAATATATTATCGTGATTAATTATAGTTACAATAGTCAGTATCCCATTTTATAAATAGTAAGAATTCTCATTTTATAAATATTAAGAATTAGTAGGACTTAGATGTATTGAACTGATGTCTAAAAATTTACTATTTCTCTCTATTTAGTATCAGAAAGATCTTATCATATCCTTAGGGTTTGCTTGGGAGTTTGTAAATAAATTCTTTAAAATAATGCAACTGTATTGTATGCCTCACGAGTTCAGATTATTTTATTCTCTCAACATCCATAAATAACAAAAATACTTGCCAATGTGGAAATTAATTGTTAACGGGTTATAAAACTAAGAGTTAGTAATTGAGTATATTTTACATAATAAAATTAAAATTTAAGTACCACAAAAAATCTTTCAAAAATATATCAACTACCCCTACCATTTTTTTTGGGATATAATTGGATGTTTACTCATAAGATTAGTATTAAAATAATCTTTTAGCGTGAAACCCAATTATAAATCTTCAACTTTGGGGTGGAATATGGAGTTAATGGCTATTGTTTTGCAGTTAGCTCAAAAATGACACTTAGACTTTGGGGGTGGAATATGGAGTTAATGGCCATTGTTTTGCAGTTAGCTCAAAAATGACACTTACACTTTCAATTAAGATATTTGTCTTTTCATATTACTATTATTTTATGTTTGACGTGTTTCGTCTCGGTGAAGAAATTACAAAGACATCGTAAGAAGAAGATATGCATATTCTTAAAAACATTATTATTAGATATTAGCGAGCGTTGACATTTATTTACTGCACAAAATTAAAAAAAAAAAATGCGATCCGTGTGGTGAAGTATCAGGGCGACATTTACTAAGAGGACATGCCTATAAATAGGTCTATTTTGCTGTTCTATTCTAACCGATCTTTCAAGTTTCAACCTGAGATCAATCAGGATTCGATTGTGCTGGTTCGTGCAGTTCTCATTAAGAAGGAAAAGAATGGGTGGACAAGTAACTGAGAAACCCAAGCACCGGCAACATCACTCGTTATTTCAAATTAAGGTACTATAGTTGTACAATTCCCGACATGTTTTTTATTTCAGTCTTGAAAGCCACAGTCAAGACTTTTATTTGAGTTTCTCTGCTTCTCGTAATTTGATCCTTTAGACAGGACTCCAAAAGTTGGTTATCCATGGAAGGGATGGCACAAGCAATGAAGAGTCCTTTTGGTGTTCCTGAAAACCCAGAATTCACATTCGGGTTGGATGGGCCATTGAGTAAATTGAAGATGGAGGTTCTTAAAGAAGGTGTGTCCATCATTGTGTTGACCGGTTTCGGAGGATCAGGGAAAACCACTTTGGCTACAAAGCTCTGTTGGGACGAACAAGTCAAGGGTAAGTATGTGGTAACTCCTTTTAGGTTCTCTATAATCATAAATGAGCTAACTAGTTTCCCATATAGATGAATTCATACAGTAAAAGAAAAGGGTAAAATAAGTGTATTTAAAATTTTCAAAACTTTGATCAGTTTACTTGAGATCCGATTCTAACTTCTGTCATTGTACACCAGAATTTGCAAAAGTTCATGGTTTTCAAGAATAAATGGAAGTTCTATTGGCAACCGATTAAATTAATTGCAAGTGGAATGCTCTCTAATTCCCAACATATTTCTGAAAGGTAGAAAATAGCTTAAAGCAGAGTTCATGCTTACTGATAGTTACTTCCTAACTTTAGCATATGTTGATCTTACAAAGAGAAGCATTTTCTTTTGATCATGGAAATTTCTAAAATGTAGTAAACTATTTGTTGCAGTATAGGCACTGTACTTCAAGATTATTGTAGAAAGAATTCCTGGGCTTACTAATCTCATTGGTTTCTCTAGGTAAATTCAAGGAAAACATTTTGTTTGTCACCTTCTCAAAAACGCCTAAGTTGAAGGTTATTGTAGAAGGACTATTTGAATATTGTGGATATCAAGTGCCTGAGTTTCAAAGTGATGAAGATGCAGTTATTCAATTGGGACGTTTGCTGTTGAAATTTGGTGCAAGTCCAATGCTGTTGGTCCTGGATGATGTTTGGCCTGGCGCAGAAACCATCGTTGAGAAATTTAAAATTAAGATACCAGATTATAAAATTTTGATGACTTCAAGGGTTGCATTTCCTAGATTTGGCACTCCATTGATCTTAAAACCTCTTGTTCATGAGGATGCAATAACTCTTTTCCGTCACCACGCTCTCTTGGAAAAAAGCAGTTCAAATAGTCCTACCGATGATCTTGTCCAAAAGGTGCTTCTTCCTTCTTTCTGATATATTATACGAGTAATTCATGCTTGTTCTTTTTGTATGTAGTCATCATTTGAAATAAACTTTAGTACTTCACATAATTGTAAGTTGCCGTTCCATTTTTTTATATAAAAAAATTTACCATTGAGCTAACAAAAATTTGACCCCAGAAAAGTAATATTATGGTAAAATACTTGCTGCTTGGGAGCTTTACATTTACTTGCACTGAAATGCAGGTTGTGAGACATTGCAACGGTATACCACTTGCCATTAAAGTGATTGGTAGATTACTTTGTCATCAACCTAATGAGTTGTGGCGAAAGATGGAGGAGGAATTGTCACAAGGTCATTCTATACTTGATTCTAACATTGAATTACTTACTTTTCTCGAAAAGATCTTAGATGTCTTGGAAGATAATTCCATCGTCAAAGAGTGCTTCATGGACTTGGGATTATTTCCTGAAGACCAAAGAATTCCTGTTAGTGCTCTCATTGATCTGTGGGCAGAGTCGTATGGACTAGATGATGATGGCATAGAAGCAATGGCCATTATCAACAAATTGAGTTCCAAGAATCTGGCGAATGTCTCAGTAACAAGGTACAGTCAATGACTACTTTTATTTTCTTAATCATTTCATCCTAATATATTCTATGGAACAAATAATTCAATAGCTTGTGTAGCTCATGTCATGAGAGGAGCAGTTGATTCCTTATAAATTATTCCAATGTTACCATTTAAACTTCTCGCATTATGTAATATGCATTTCTTCTTGTGAACTTGCTTTGAGGACAGAAGTTAAAATCCGTTATCTATCAAATACAAAGCATGCACTTTTAATCTTGTGAGGGAATTTTTCTCCCTGTGGAGTTAATTTCTACTTATTTACCAGGAAAAATACAAGTGACACAGACAGTGACTACTACAATAACCATTTCATCATCCTTCATGATACTCTAAGAGACCTGGCAATTTATGAAAGCACCAAGGAACAAAGTAAACAGAGAAAAAGAGTGATGATTGACATAAATGAAAATGATCCTGAATGGAACCTTGGGGAGAAGCAGCAAGGCATGATGACCCGCATATTGTCAAATTGTTTTAGATGGTGTGCTGAACTGAAACCCCAACAGATCCCTGCACACACATTGTCTATAACAATTGGTTAGTTATTCCTTTCTCTAAACTCTAAAGCATAAACATTTACTTACGAAGTAAATTAAGATGGTAAAATGAAAGTCCCTATGATCTGTCATTTGTTCCTCTTCTACTATTGACACCATATGGGTTGCTTTTGCAGATGAAACTTGCACTTCATATTGGTCCAACATGCGAGCAACTAAAGCCGAGGTTCTGATTCTAAACCTTCGAACTAATCAGCACTTCCTTCCAGGGTTCCTGAAAGAAATGAGCAAACTAAAAGTTCTGGTAGTGACAAATTATAGTTTCCATCCTTCTGAAATGAACAATTTTGAGTTACTTGGCTCATTGCCGAAGCTAAAAAGAATCAGACTAGAGCGGATTTCTGTTCCTTCCTTTGTCACATTGAAGAATCTTAAAAAGTTATCCCTCTACTTGTGTAATACAAGACAGGCTTTTGAAAACGGCTACATGCTAATTTCAGACTCTTTTCCAAATATAGAAGATTTGAATATTGACTATTGCAAAGATATGGTGGAATTGCCTGAGGGGCTCTGTGATATCACCTCCTTGAAGAGGCTCAGTGTTACTAATTGCCACAAGCTTTCTGCATTGCCCCAAGAGATTGAAAAGTTGGGGAATTTGGAACTCCTAAGGCTCAATTCTTGTACTGATTTGGAAGGGGTACCAGATTCTATTGGAGGGCTTTCAAATCTAAGGATTCTTGACATCTCAAATTGTGTTGGCCTTTCTAATTTACCTGAGGACTTTGGAAAATTGTTTAATTTAAGAAATCTCTACATGACAAGTTGTGCAAGGTGTGAATTGCCATCTTCAATCATCAATCTTAAGAATTTAACGAAGGTAGTGTGCGATGAAGAGACAGCTGCTTCGTGGGAACCTTTTAAACCTATGCTTCCGAATCTAAATATCAGCAGAATAAATGGTAGTTTTTCTGTTGGTATATAGCTATATAGTGTAGGGTTTAGGGTTTAATGTTTGCAATAATACTATCGAAGCCTTTCTTTTCTGTATTTTTTTAAGAGTTTTCTAATTAGTGGCCTCTTTAATTAATTGTTCGCTCATGACACATCCATATATTAATAATAAGTCGTTATTATATTTTTTCTCCTAAAATAATTTTTATTTTTTCTTTACGAATACCCTTTTTCTTGTTTTTATGTTTAATTTTTTTTTTAGTACTAACCTCTTTTACATGCACCCTTTCACTCAGTCTCTTCCAATACATTTTTAAGATTTCAAATATTTTAATTTTAAAGATTAATTTTATAAATAAATAAATTTTTCATAATATGTATTATATATATCTTTTTGGTTCATCTCCTTCTTCTCCTTTTCTTTTTCTTCTTCCTTAGTGTTTCAATTTTTTTTGAAAGTATGTAAAAATTACATATCTGAAAATTATTTTCTATAATTATAAGCATATTTCTTCTACAAAGTTCTTTTTTCAAAACATTGGAATTTATGTTACGAAAATCGAATGCATATAAAAGGAAGGATGCGTAAGAATCTTAAAATTTTATGTTTAGAAGGAAAAATACAATTATATATAAAATTTTAGTATGTCTTGAGATGCTGAAAAAATGAAGGAAGGCATGTGTGCAAAGGGGTGAGTGCTTCGAAAAATATTTAAGCTTTCAATTTTAAAGATTGATTTTGCAAATAAATAATTACCTCATATTATATGCACTCCTTTCCTTTATCATTCTTCTTTTTCTTTCCCGTCCCTTCTTTTTCTTTAATGTCTTGGAAAGTAATTTTTGAAAGTATGTAAAAAAAAAAATACATCTAAAAATATTTTTCATAATTATTTTTCAAAATACTAAAATTAATGTTATGAAAACTGGATGCCCGTGGAAAGAAGGATGCCTGAAAATCTTAAAATTTTATGTTTAGGAAGAAAAGTTTCAATTTTAAAATTTTAGTCCATTTCAAAATTCTAAAAAAATAGAAAAAGGGAGTAAATGTAAAAAAGATGAATACTTAAAAAAAATATATATATAAGCGTTTAATTTTAAAGAAGGATTTTGCAAGTAAATAAATTATTTGAAAAAAAAAATACATCACATTCCATCATCCTTCTTTGATAGGAGTAATAAATTACTTTTATTATATTTGTTAATAGGAGTAATTAGTATTATTTTTTTAATAGCAGTAATGATGTATTGTATAGGAGCTATCATCTATCCTTATATAAAGATACTTTTTGTAACTTTCAACACACAATAATAAAATACAATATTTTTTTTTTCCCATTTTCCTGTTATGGCATCTGAGCGGGTTTTTCCTGCTCTCGTCCGCACAAACTCTGAAATAGTTATTTTTTCTTCTTGGTTTTTGGATCTTTGATTCTCAAATACCTAATTGTATTTTTTTTTTCTTCTGAGTTTCGTTTTCATCTTTCTTGTTCATGGAGAACACAAAGTCTAGTGAAGGTGATGCACCAATTGATCAATCACAAAGCTCCAGCAGCCAATATTATCCGTGTCTTGGAAAAAATATATATAGGATTGATTCTTGTCACACTATAGATGAATGGACAAATTATCATACCTAGAGTCAGACCATGAAAAGAGCCTTATTGTCCAAGAACAAGTCCAAGTTCATCAATGGAGCCATACCAATTCCAAGCAAGGATGATGGATCCGGATCCTCTGACTTTGAGATATCAAAGTTATGGTAACTTAACACATCTCAATCGTTGGATTTGTAATAATAGATCAGATTGTGACACGTGTACAAAATATATTTTAACTTAAATGTACACGTGTCACAATCTGATCTACTATTACAAATCCAATGGTTTAAATGTGTAAAGTTACCCTAACTTTCCCCCTCCAAAGTCAGGTGATCTATTTTCAAGGATGATACGCTTGAGAGAGATGCAATGTTATGGTGATTTCATGGATCACTAGAAACATTGAGTCATAGATAATGCAAAGATCCTATGGGAAGATTTGAAAGAAGGTTTTCTAAAGCAGATTATTTCAAAATTTTAGACCTTAAAGAGATTCATTCTATTAATATTACTAATTAATCTTTTAATAATTTATGTAATTAACGGTTTCTAAAAGCCAAAAAAAAAAATGAATTACTGGACTATTATTTTTTTAAAAAAAATCACCATAAATTTATAATAAATTATGTAATTTATTTAATTTTTACATATTTTATTGTAATCAAATAATAATTTTTAAACATACCAAATAAATCATTTGAGTAAATTAATTATTTGATCGATTAACTTTTTGGCATGTTTTGTTTATTTATAATTATGAATTAATAAACTATATTAGTTTTGACATTTTTAATTGTAATAAAATAATTGAATTTTATATTTTAAATTACTTAATTAAATCATTTTACTGCATTATTTTCAATGATACATAGAGAAAATAATATATATATATATAAGGGGCATAGA